TGCTGGTGGTTGTCCCACGGTGATAATCTTAAGACGAAAGGTTACGTTGTGGTACTGTATCAGCCGTCTCACATTATGGACGGGGTTTTTGCGATCAAAACTTCCGGCGGCCTGACATTACTTTCGTGCAACAATTCAAAATTGATTGAACCTGTATCATATTTGACTATGCGCTGCAAGTACACAGATATGCAGTTACGAACAATGGAGATGACCAAACTCTGTACTATTGTCCCCACATGTTCACTGGGAAGAGTATGCAACATATGAGACAGGGTCACAAGCAGCTCATTGCAGTGTACTTTCATGCTGGCTTTCATGCAATGAGCGTCGAGAAGGTGAGCTGTCGGTCAAAGGTCGGCCCAAGGTTAAGTGCCGTACCGCTATCCTCGATCATATTGTCGCCGAAGCGGATTGAGACGGGCGGCACGTGCCACGTCTTTTGCTGAGTGCCGATGGCGATAAGCTGGGTTTTGCTAGAATTCAGTTGCAAAGGATGTTGCCCAAACCGTACAGTGTGCAGACCGCTCTTTCCATTTTCGCTGTAAGCTTCGTCAGTTCTAGCTTTCTACCAGCTACGATTATTTGCGCATCGCCCGCGCACTGGACAAAATGGACGCCGCCAAAAGAGAGAGAGAGAGAGAGAGAGAGAGAGAGAGAGAGAGAGAGAGAGAGAGAGAGAGAGAGAGAGAGAGAGAGAGAGAGAGAGAGAGAGAGAGAGAGAGAGAGAGAGAGAGAGAGAGAGAGAGAGAGAGAGAGAGAGAGAGAGAGAGAGAGAGAGAGAGAGAGAGAGAGAGAGAGAGAGAGAGAGAGAGAGGGAAAGAGAGAGAGAGAGAGAGAGAGAGAGAGAGAGAGAGAGAGAGAGAGAGAGAGAGAGAGAGAGAGAGAGAGAGAGAGAGAGAGAGAGAGAGAGAGAGAGAGAGAGAGAGAGAGAGAGAGAGAGAGAGAGAGAGAGAGAGAGAGAGAGAGAGAGAGAGAGAGAGAGAGAGAGAGAGATATATATATATATATATATATATATATATATATATACACAATGACGGCGTCCATGTTGTCCAATCCGTGTGTATGTATGTATGTAATGTATGTATACTCCCATGGTGGGGTGGGGACCATTCGCCCGAGGTATGAACAGCACGCCCTGACCTGGCGTGTCACAGATCACATGCGCTCATTGGTTACTTTCGGCGCACAGTTTACTCAGGAGGGTACTATCCAGTCAAGCGCAAGCTTTTTCCCACATCAGGTGGCCATTATGCTTACACTGTTCAGACAATATTGCTGTTGGATCTGCAACATTCTGCCATGTTGTGGACTGTTCCGTGAACTCAGTCCGGGGGAGTTCGCTTTTGATCCAGTGACATACTTTCATTTGCAATGGAAACAGCAGCGCAGTTTAATCCCACCTTGCGAAAATAAATCCACCCAATATCAATACAGTGAATGACAACTTCACGAGATCATGACTATGGAAGGAGGGAACAGGGGCACTGCTACAGGCACTAAGCAACTACGAATATGAAAAAAACGTAGATATTTTTTAATCGATGTTAAGCCTTCAGGCTCTTGTGTAGCCCACTTGCGTGCGTCTCTAGAAAATGACAACTTGGGTATGGTAATTACTCAGAAACGCTTACTCGGTAACATTGAAGGTAACCAGAACTACAAAACAGCCACTTCAAGGCACTGACATGGCCTACCATCGGCTTACGAGGCTTACGTTTTCGACGAAATTGAGTACAAGAAAGCTGGAAAAAGCGTAATGCCGTCCAAACCTGGTAGACAAAAACAGTCAAAGTATCGTACTACACACGGACACTCGCTGCTGACCAAAGACCATTCCAATGACTGAAAACCCAGAAGTGGTCTCGTGGACGCTTTGTGTAAACTAACCTACCGCAAAGTTTGCTTTTTACCCTCGGACTACGAACACGGGCGGTCTTTGAGCGGCTCTGCGTCGCGTCAGAGATCACACCACCCTGCCCTCCGGTGATGACCTTTGACCTTACGCCGGGCGAGCGACGCCCACCTCCTCGGCATTGTATAAGCTCAGCTGAATAGTGCAGTAATGCGGATAGTGATGACTCTTCGCTGCACCAGTCACAAGGATTATGGTTTTCACATGTGTTTCACCCCAGGAACCACGCAGTGCAATGTTCCGCGGTGTGGTTTGAAATACACTAGTATTTGTCCGATTGTAGACTCGAGGCAAACAGTCAAATACTGATATTTGCGCCATTCGACGACCACGGACGCCTCTGTCAAGTGTGGATGGTAGTATGTGCCACACTGGAGTGCAGACGTGCAGATAAGTTTATTGGGTTTGACACTTGTTTGATGTTCGTCGTTGTCATGCCAACAACCAATGCGTTTTCATGGCACCAACAGCTATCTCCCTGGGACTTCTAGCATAGCAGCAGCGATGGATAGCTCAGTGTCAAATCCAGTGAATTCGTTTAACGTAGACCATAATGTTAACACTGGGGCTCCACACAGGCTCAGGAGATCTGTAAACATCAGTGCAAAGCTAGCAGAGGCGCTCACTTTCGCTACAAATGCCGATTGTGTAATCGTGCAACAGTAGATGTCACATACACGCTCTGGACAGCAAAATCCTAAAACCCATCGATTGATCCATCACTGACTGAGGGAATCATTCTTGCCCTACTGGGGATTTTACAGACGTGAAATGAACTCCCATGCGGGACCCTTAATGAACACTCCATGACTTTTCTGCATCATTCCTGCTATTCTTTACACAGGTTTGAGCATAAGCTAGAGCATTATAGGGGTATTTCCCCAGTAGAAAATTTCCAATGGTTTTCAAGGTTTTAAGATTGATTGCTGGAGAGATCTGATGCAAATAATGTGCACGCATTTTTGATTTGAGGAAACTGGAAGACATACGCTCGTTATTACGCATATCGGTTTGCTTTCACTCCTTTACCTCCAGCTGTTGTATGACAAGTTCTTCACTGGTACTTACCACTTTATTTTCAGGAAAGGAGATTTGTCGTCATAAACAAGAAAAGGCGGGGATATGTTCACCCACTTTGTTGTAATAGTTTAGCCTTAGGCTCATGTTGATGCATGAACATCATTGGTTTCCCAATGTTTGATCCGACAATTTGGTCCATCAATTTTTTTTTTGCTTCTGAACCACGGATGTCCTCCAGAAAACATCCATTCCATAGAGGATCCTACAACTGGAGGGACCTGAGCGTCCTTTTGTCGAATGTCGCTCAAGACCTCAAAATTGAAAACACGCAAGCATATGGTGCCAAACGGCACGTACAGATCATTCCAAAGTTAAAACACGCAGAGTAAATGCATTGCAACATACGCAAAACGGAACCTGTGATCAGCTAAACCGTCCAGCCTATGTCTTTGTCCACTTCGCAGCGTCCCTTGTTCTTGTGATACTTAATCGTCACCAAAGCCATCGGGCGACCTAGCTGGAGTTTGATGAAAGGCCGAACGCACCGTACCAAGCCTTTAAAGAGGGGTCGTAGTTATGCCAACTTCACACGCGTGTGGTGATAAGCTATTTTGGAGTTTGCGCGCTTCTCAATAAATCATTTCAGCTTCGAACCTGGGTTTCTGTTCAGCTTCTGTGCGCCTATTGCCGTGCTATCAGCAGACCGCGACTAAATGTCAAAAGACAATACTACGAAGCCGAAATGCAGAATATATCGGACGCGATCCAAGCATCTACAGCGAGGACCGCTCAATATTGTTCATTGAATCATTTACAGCGAGGATCACCCAATATTGTCCACAATGTCGTTTCTCACATTATTGATAAACAGGACGAGTTGAGGACAATGAACTGTTTTCGGCGCAGACGCTTAGACGATGAGATGAGCTTCATGGACCAAGTAGTCTATTTTTGTGCTCTTGACGGGGATAAAGAGACATAGATGCGTCCTGCTTGTCCACCTGCCTTTCAACTGGACGTAATGCGTTTCTGTAAGCTCTTTCCCCATGGAGAATCATTTGTTAGCAGTATTTGAGACGTTTTATTGGATCTGTGTAGGCATTCGGTTCGGATAAACTATGTTCCAGGAGGTATGCTTTTCAATGACAGCTATCTGGCACATGAAAGTATATTACCTTTACATCCTGGACACACATTACAAGGATACACACATAAAGTATATTACATTTACATCCTGGACACACACACATTACAAGGATGTAAACGTTGTACAATAGGCAAATGGTAGATTTCATCATTTTTTATAAAACGTAAGATGTTATCACATTGAGCATAACGTGTGCAGCCCGGAAGTAAGAAAGCTCAAAAATGTAAAAGCTATAAAAACCGCTTGGGAAGACCCTGAAACATGGTAGTGGAAAAAGTCAGAAAACCGTCAGGAAAAAACCGCATCGGGTAATCCGGTACAATGGCGCAGGCTCAGCTCAAAATCCAAACAGAAATGCGAGGATGTTTGGCAACAGAAATGGGGGTACTGAACCGCCTTTAATGTCATTCATGCAGCTTTGACGGAAACAATTTAAACACAGGTAAAATCACTGGTGCAACTACGCTTCTAAGATTGACGGGCAATCAAGACTGGAGAGGTCGATCTAGAAGCTGGGAGACAGCCTGCCCCGGAAATGACATTTTGAATTGGGGCAAACTGGTCGAGCAAACATTCCAATTGCAAACTTGGAGGGAACAAGTGCATTTTTTGTAAAAAAACGAAACAAAACGAAACACTGGAAACAAATCCCCAGCCACCCCTGCCCAGTTGCTACATACGTGGTTTAAACAAAGTAGTAGGCAGTCAGCTTAGTCATCGTCTCCAAACCGGTCGGCCACCCCTGGCTGACCGTGTAGCCTGGTCCGTCACCCCTGGAACTACCTGCCGCGGCAGCGCCGCCGCGTGCCGCCCACCTGTCCGCCCGCTGACGGCATCGGCTCTGGCTTCGGGCACGGCGCGCTGCCACCTCCCCCGAATCGGCGCCGGCGCCGGTCACGTGACGGCCGCGAAGACCAAAACAAGACGCCAGGAACGCGGTCGCGCGAGTGTGCGAGTGTCGCTGCGGAGGGTTGCGGACCGTCGGAAGTCGAGGTGGGTTTTCTCCCTGGCCGACCGGCCAGCAGTCGCGGTGGCCCCCGTGTTCAGACCTCTGCTGTCCGTGCGCGGTGGAGGGAACTGGCCTGTGGGTGTCGCATCCCTGGGTCCACAGAAACCACCTCACCAGCCGCAGGGCGCAGGCGGCCGTCATAGCAGTGATGGAGGCACTGTGACTGGCGGCGTCCCTCTTCAAACCTATTCAGGCGTTTAGGCACCGGCCTCTTGCCAGCCATCTGAGGCGCTATGGGGTCCACCGAGTCCTTAAGAGGGGCCCCTCCGACCAGAAGCATCCCGCCTAAGGAACCCCGGAATGGGTCCCCTGCGTTCACCTGGACGCGCCCCGCGCTCGGGCCACGTCCGTGGGCCCGTCCCGCGCCGGGGGTCTGACCGAGTCCCTGGCACCCGCCCGCCCGAGGGTCCCGCCAGGGCCCTGGGACCCGCCCGAGGCACGGAGCGTGGCGGGCCGGCGCCTCCGGGGCCTGCGTGCCTGGTGTTGACGCCGCGGGGTCTGTGGCCGGTGCCTGACCCCGGCCCTGACCCCTAGCGCCGGTGGCGCGCCCGGCGCCGGCGGCGGCCGACCGGTGCCGGCCGGCGGCGGGCTCCGGCATCAACCCGCGTCTGACCCGCTCCGTGGAAGCCGCCGAACGGGTCGGCCCCTGCACCGGCCGCCGTGCACCGCCGCTGTGCGAGTCACGCAGAAGCCCGTCCGGTCGGGTTGCGGCACCGGAAGTGACGTCAGGTGGCATTTCCAGTCACAGTGGTCGTAACTGAGATAGATGGTTTATGGTTAAATGTTTCGGCATGCGAGCAGGATTTCTTTCCTTTTTGCTGGCCAAAAGCTATGGACGTGTAAGCTAAAGCACTGGCAGGTTGAAGTAATTTCATGCGCAATCACTGCTTTCCTTTGAAAGGAGCAATTTGCTTCCATGAATGAGCGCATATTACTCTCGGTAACTTAGTTTTCCCAGGTAAACTGGTGTTCGCTGGCAGGCAATAAGCCAGTAAACTCGAAGGTAAGAAAGCACAAAACCTCGAATAGCAAATGTGTACTGGTCATTCGCATGTCTTGTCTTCATCCACCCACCAAAAATGTCGTTGGCTGGCGGCGCCCAAGAACAAAGCAGTATGGGATGGATCATACCAGGGTTGCAGTGAGTGTCCGGGCCGGAGAACTGTCAAGTCTGTGTACATGACATTTGCTAGGTTTGTCTAGAGGCATAGATGAGAACATCAAGTATGTTTCTATGGAAGTTTGCCAAGGTCAACCAGTTTATATCCCTTTTGCTGGAGTTTTCAACGCACATTCCAGTTCATATCAGACTGCATCCATGGTAGCTGTCTGCAGGGCTCGGCGCTCTGCACAGCTGAGCGAGAGCTAGGGCGGCGACCTTGCACAACATGACTGAGCACAGCCTTGCCGGCTGGTTTTTAAGTTACCACCCACATGAAAGCACACTGGACCCGGCGTCCTTGCAGGATGCACCAACGGCGTTTGTGCTGCGTGTGCAGCGGCTTATGGGTGAGTCACACGGAGCAGACAAAAGCGCCGCTGGCGGCCGACATCCGGAGATTTATCGGGAAAATCTCCAGAGGTCGCAGACTTGTAGGGGTCCAAACCTGCCGCTGATCACCAATCAGCACATTTAGCTAAGTACGATACTTCTTGCCAGGTGCGACATTTTCGTGCGTACCTACCAATTTAGTATCGTGACATAGTTGCTCTATGTTACGGAAAGGGCAACGTAGACTGTCATCACTGATTTCATACGAACGAGGGATAGACAACATTAGTGAGAAGTCCAGGTCGTTTAACACACTTTGCTTATATCAGCGTATCTGTAGATGGATGGGTTGGATGGGAAATGTATATTTTCGCCAGCAGCGGTATGATATTGCTTACTAAATCAAGATCACCCGGCACAGGGCCCCAAACCGGCTGCAGGGATTTTTACCGTCGATACTGTAAGCGACCACTCACTCGTGACATACATCCAACCGATCCTGGGCCGTGGTTTGAAGTCTGTGATGAATTCTCAGCTTTCGTGCAGTGGAGGCATGCTTCTACCGAAGAGTGTTGTCTTTTTTGGCCTTTTTTGCCAAAAAAGGCCTGTGACCTTTTTTGGCCTTCATGCACGTTTCAGTGATATGGTACGGGACCGGTAGGAAAATTTTTCTATACCGAGGCCGTTATTGTTTTCCGCCCGAGACTGGATGTCAAGGTAGAAAATTCAGTGCGAATCGTTCGAAACTTCGGAATTCAAGTCACGAAAAATATTTTTGCCAACATATGGTCCGATTTTTACCATATGTCTTACGCGGTTTGTCGTTCGGAGGAGCAAGCACCACATTTCTCAGATGTTCTTTTGCATTTCGCGTAGAAAAGTTACTCATTCACTCCGAACTTTTTTATGTTTTGCTTAGGGCGCGTCTGTTTCTCTGTCCCGTTTTGCATGACGGCGTGCACTGTTCAAACGGCAGGTCGTTGAATGGTAAAATTTGGACAGGACGCGGGGGCGCAACATGGAGATACTCCACCGGTGGATCTCGAGCCGCTGCGGTCCAGGGTTCTGGTGGAACCCGTGGCGGATGGACCGTTTAAGGTCCATTAGTTTTGCACGGGCGGCTCGAAAATGTGACAGGCAACAAAGGCGGCGGGCAGCCGTTTGAGACTGTGGCCACATCTCGGTAGCCAGGCGTCGGAGCGACAAGCAATTCACACGTGGAGGTAGATAATTGGACGGGGTATCGCTTGGTGTCACGCGCGTGGTCGCACGTGCCACGTGGCATGTGCACAGAAGTTGCCAAGATTAACTTGACGGGATTTTACGTTTTGTACTGTATGTTGGCAGCCAGAGCGTGTGGAGACGCGGATGCAATATCAAAGTGTCGGCTGGTAAATTCATGTGCCCACCAGTTTATGCGAGGAACGGTTGCGCCAGAAGTCGTTGCGCAAGCCGGGAATATTGATATTTTGAAAAACAGTGCCGAATACGACACGTTGTCGTCGAAACTTTAGCCAGAGTCGTGACCGAATTTGCATCACCGCGTGCACTAGTTCATCGCCTGTATCTGTCACGCATTGATTTATCGTCATGTGCCCTGTCTTGTTCATAAAGCAACATTGCCTAAACAGTCGCAGTTCCATATTTTCGCGCGGCAAAAATTCCCACGGTTTGATCGCACAGTCGCCGGCGGCCAGTGTTTTAAGTGAAACGACGAAACGCGCACGCGCCGGATGTTGCCGGCGTCCGGCAGCAGTCATTCACTTATTTATTCGTTCGCTGTGGTGAGAAAGGTGCACCATGACCATAGTGACGATCACATGCATTACCCGAGCTCCTTGCTTTGAGAGATACCAGAGAAACTACACACATTGAGTAAAGAATGATCTGCAACGGTTGTGGTAAGTGGAACCACGAAATGCAGTAAGATTTCGGCGAAGTTCACTGCCACAGCAAAACACCCCGATGGGCTCCGCGGGATCTGCTTTTGAATCGCTAGAGAATCTCACAATAAAGAAACATTACGGCACCACTGAGCAAGTGGCAGTGCTAATTATTGAAACCTGGCAATTGCAGTCGTAGGTCGTGCGGATTTCTGGAAATTTTGGAATGCACAACAGCTTAAGTAATAACGATGCCTAACGCACCGACGACAGAAATCTGGAGAGCAAGATTTGGACGTCCGTGGTTGTCAGCACATGACGCATTGTTCTCGTTCCCGTCTGCAGACCGTGCAAACCCTACTTCAGCATGACGCAATGCTGAACTGGACCGGCCCGCTCGTCACGCGTTCTGGAGGCTAATACCTTTGCATCCGCTGGTCTCGAGCCGATGTTGATTTCAGCGACAGCAACGACAAGCTTTTTTCAAAAAAAGGCTGTATTTTACACGTTGTCAGGCATTTGCATGTATGGTTTGTGGCCAAGCCGTTTGTTCTTCAAACATTGCAATGCCGCCACGATCTGATCTCCCCACATTCTATTAACACAGAAAACGTGAAATGGTTTAGTTTAAATTGATTTGGAAAAAAGATGAAAAATGACAATTTTGAGTACTTTTACAAATTTTAATTAACAAAAAACTGCGTCATGTGGACCAAAACTTGTTCACACCTTGATCATCCGGCGTCGCAATCATACCGAGACGAACTGATTTTGATAAAGTAAAAACAGACAGTTGTATCATAGAAGTATGAGCCGATGTGCGCACCTTCGCGCTTTTGTGCGTAAGCCATGGGTGCGAACGTTTGAGGGCACTTCATGTCAGCGCTTGGAGCTATCTGTCAAATAGAGCATATGAAGTGTGAAATGGAGCATATGAAGTGTGAAACGAAATGCACGTTGTGGGAAAGTATACTGTCCGCAATGGCTCAATAATATCAAAACTGTCAGATCCATAAGCGCGTCAGTAAGATACGCTGGGGCGGACAATCCACCCTTTCCGAAAACGACTTTGGGCGCAAGCTGCTCTGGCCTACATGGAGAGAGTTACGACCTTGCAAGTTGCATGGACTTGTAGCTCTGTTCATTTGTGGCCAATGTGCACCCAAAGCACCATTTTGTTAAAAAATTCGCTCGCTTTTGATAAGAGATAAGATGTTGCAAGTTCATCAATTTCGTCAACTCAAACGGCCTAGCCGGGCAGGCTTGAAGCTGGCAACTTTTCAAACAATGTTTATCATCAGTTGGTGCACGGAGCTTGGCATCAGTGGACCTGCCTCCCCTGGTTAAAATTTGCACGAAGGGTGGACTTCTAGGAAAAGTATTGGTATTGGTTTCCGAAGATGTCTGTCTCCTTCGGCTAAGTTTTTAGCATCATCTTCATAACAACGGACAACTCTCGCATCTGTGTGGCATAGCTCATCCCACCCCGTGCGAGGCTTCCCAACGAAAGAATACGCTACATGACAGCAATTAGCGATTAGCGAGAGGATAGCGATTTAGCATCCGGCGTATTTTTGCGATGTGAGAAATTGTGGCTGCTGTCAACGTT